AAAAAAAAAAAAAAAGAATTCCATAGAACTACTCTACAATCCAGCAATTGCACCATGAGGTATTTACCCAAAGGACACAAAAATACAGATTCAAAGGGGTACATGCACCCTAATGTTTATAGCAGCATTATCAACAATAGCTAAACTATGGAGACAGCCCCAAATGTCCATCGACTGATGAATGGATAAAGAAGATGTGGTGTGTGTGTGTGTGTGTGTAGATATATGTGTACACACACACACACACACACACACACACACTGGAATATTACTCAGCCATCGAAAAGAGTGAAATCTTGCCATCTGCAACAACATGGATGGAACTAGAGTGTATTATGCTAAGTGAAATAAATCAGTCAGAGAAAGATAGATATCATATGGTTTCACTCATATGCGGAACTTAGGAAACAAAACAGATGAACGTATGGGGGAGGGGAGAGGGAAAAAAACCACAAGAGACTTAACTATAGAGAACAAACTGAGGGTTGATGGAGGGAGGTGGGCAGGAGATGGGCTAGATGGGTGATGGGTACCAAGGAGGGCACTTGTGATGAGTAGTGGGTGTGCTGTATTTAAGTGAAGAATCAATGAATTCTACTGCTGAAACCAATATTGTGCTGTATATTAACTAAAATATAAATTTTTAAAAATTCCATAGATACCAAAGTATTTACAAATAAAATAACACGGTATCAGGGATAACTGGCAACGTTGATAATGATGCACGGGGGTTCTTTATACACATCTATTTTATATAGTACATTCAAAAAAAAATTTTTAAGTTTTATTTATTTCAGTAATCTCTACACCCAATGTGGGTTTCGAACTCACAACCCCGAGATGAAGCGTCATATGCTCTTCGGACGGAGCCAGCCGGGCGCCCCTCAACATTGTTTCTTAATCAAGTAGGAAAAAGCACTTCTCAGTTCAAACAAACTGCATGTGTGTGCCCATGTGTACGCATGATGATCAGGAAAACGTGAGCAGTGACTGATATCCATAATGTTAAGGCATTACTGTTAATAATTTTAAGCGTGAGCATGGTACTCTAGTTATGATCTTTTGAAACGAAATAGTTACAGATGAAAAAACACCTGGGATTTGCTTCAAGATAAGCCAAGGCAGGGGGAGGCAGTGGGGAGGAGTTAAAAAAAGACTGGCCACAGGGCACCCGGGCAGCTCAGTTGGTTAAGTGTCTGACTCCTGATCTCAGCTCAGGTCTTGGTCTCGGGGTCGTGAATTCAAGCCCCATTGTTGGGCTCCACACCGGGCATGGAGTCTACTTTAAAAAAAAAAAAAAGACTGGCCACATATCAACAACTGTCAATGCTGGGTGACAGACATATTGCTGTGATTATACCCTGCCCTCTGCTCTTGGATAGATATGAAATTTTGCATAATAAAAACTTTGGAAACATAGGTTTGCCATTCCAATTTCTGTACTCATCCTGCCTATCTCATGAGGCTTTATAAAGACTACATGGAATGAATGAAAACAAGTGAATGGAATTAAATGACCAGAAATGCTGCTCTTTATTTTCGCCGCTGGTGGGACACGGGGAAGAAAGCAGTGGGCTTGAGATTTAAAAATTCTGACTGATTGGGGCACCTGGGTGGCTCAGTCCATTAAGTGTCCGACTTGAGCTCAAGTCACGATCTCACAGTTCGTGAGTTCAAGCCCCGTGTCGGGCTCTGTGCCGATAGCTTGGAGCCTGAAGCCCGCTTCGGATTCTCTGTCTCCCCCTCTCTCTCTCTCTGCCCTGTCCACACTTGTGCTCCCTCTCTCAAAAATAAATAACGAACATTAAAAAAAAATTCTGGGGGCATCTGGGTGGCTCAGTTGGCTAAGCGTCTGACTTTGTCTCAGATCACGACCTCATAGTTCATGATTACAAGCCAAGCGTCAGGCTCTACGCTGACAGCCCAGAGCCTGGAGCCTGTTTCAAATTCTGTGTCTCCCTCTCTCTCTTCCCCTCTCCTGCTCGCTCTTTCTCTCAAAAATAAACAAACATTAAAAAACACTGGTTTTTAATCTGAGTCATTATGCTGATCATCGGTTTCTCAGTGATGCCCTTCATCACTGTCTTCCCTCTCTTAACTAGAAGCTCCCTTTTTCGTTTTTAACGTTTTTAGGTATCTCGGAGAGTACGCTGGTGGGGGAGGGGCAGAGAGAGAGGGAGACAGAGGATCTGAGGCAGGCTCTGTGCCAAGAGCAGCCAGCCCGAGGTGAGGCTCGAACTCACGAACCACGAGATCATGACCTGAGCCGAAGTCGGATGCTCAACTGACTGAGCCACCCAGGTGCCCCTCAACCAGAAGCTCCTTAAAGACAGAAACCCTGTCCATCTTGTTCGACATAGTGTCCTGGGCAATAAGTCCAATGCCTGGTATGAAAAAATAAAGCTGAGTTCAAGTTCCTGTTCAGCAATGTGGAGCGGGGACTGTGACTGTTCTATTCTGCACCCAACCTCAGCGCTGCGGTGCAATCGGTATTTGTGGTATGGTGCTGGACGGTTTACTTAACCTCCCCAAGCCTCAGGCTCCTCCTCTGTAAAATGGAAATAAAGTCTATCTCAATAAGCTGATCTGACCTGTAGCCACTTCATGCGGCCATTCATTTGTTCCACATTTATTGATTCTAAAAGTCCTACAGAAAGTAAGTAATAGTCCGTCATTACCATAAACAGAATAGTAATAATAAAGTGACATAAACATTAGATAAATGTAAATACCCATTCAACAATTATTTATGGAGTTTCTACTGTGTTCTAGGCACTGTGCCACATGCTAGGGGTAACTATGAAAGTAAGTATGGTATGATCCTTGTTTTTGAGGAAGTTTTCAATCAAATGGGTGAGAGGAGAGAGAACACGATCACAATGTGAATTGGTAAGTGACATACCAGAGTAAAACAGGAACATAGCACATTCCCTCTGGGGACATTCTCCTACCCAAGTTGGTTTCAGGAAAGAAATCGGTTCACTTCCCAAAGTTATAAATGTCAACTCCCAAATTAAAACCACCATGAGGTATTTCACTTTCACTTATTCACTGCAATAAGGCTATAGATTCTCTCTAAAGAAGCCAGCCAATGCTGGAAATCTTCCAAAGGAATTAGATCCTTTTGTTTTTCTGGGTTTTTGCCAGCAGTCCAAACCCAAAGAGCCAAATGGAGCTATTGGCTCATCCATTTAATATTAACTGCCAACTCCCTTCTCCCAGAACACAATGCCCTTCTATTTCAGAGAAGCCCCCTCAGCAACTTGCTCCATGTCAATCAATGGCTGAATTAAGAAAGAGCACAGATTCAATTCTTTCAGATCCAATTCCAAATACAGGGCCAACTTCTCTCTCATTAAAAATAGGATTTAATAACTCATGCAAAAAAAAAATTTTTTTTTTTAATAACTTACCTCAAATTCTTCCCAAAAGCCTTGTTTGACTTTATCTGTGGTCTCAGCTAATTTGCTTAGTTCTCGAACCCGGCTTTCTATTTCAGCAGCATTGATGCGTGTTGTGTTGAGGGGCTAATCAAATTCAGCAGTTGGTGTGAAATGAATAAAGTATTATTAAAAAAAAAAAAGTGTTAATACCAAAAAAAAAAAAAAAAAAAAAAAAAAAAGAGTTCCATCTTGATATTTGTAAGGCAAGGACAGGAAATTCAAAGGATATAGTAATTCACAACAAAAGTTTTCAAATACAGTTTCACTTTTCTGTTTTGTCAGAAAATGTATCTTTCTTCAATCCCCACACACACTTTACTCTGCTGATATAAATTCAAACCTATTTTTCTTCAGAAATCGATCCCAACATTATTTGGGGAGATGATATAATTTGCCACTAGGTGCTAAGAGGGAACTCTGAAGTAGCAGTAACTCCAAAAGGAGTAAGTGTAATCACCCAAAGTAAACCAAAGGGAGGCCTAGAACGAACACTTGGTAAAAGCTTGCCTTAGAAACTCCATAAAGCCTTTTAGAGATACACCTGGAGGTATCATGGAAATGACATAATACCTGGAATTCGTTTCCAAATACCCCAGGGGAAGAGCAGTGGAGTGCGGTAACAATGAAACAAGATTTTTAAGTTGATCACAATTGAAGCTGGGTGATGGGTGTATGGAGGTCCATGATACTATTCTACTTCTGTATATTTAGAATATTCTGTATCAGGATTTTCTAAACTCCGTAAGGAGATGAAGCTTTAGCTTTCTAATATTCTCACCTGCTTGAGTTGTAGCACTGTGCCCAATGTTTCCACCATGGGGTTCTTCTTGTAATGCTCCACGAGATCTGTCAAAGAGTCAAACCGTTCTCCTCCACCAACATCATATTTCAGTTCCTTTCAAGACCAAAAAAAAGAAAAAAATCCTATTACCTTTATGTCAAATTATTATTTTTCCCAGCTGAAGTACAGAGACTGACTCTCCCCCAAAGAAAAAATGGCTGTCGTAGTACAAAGGAGAGAGAGCAAGGATGATGGAACAGGAAAGGCCGACTCAATGGGAAAGAGCTCACCGTGGGGTGTGAGATCTAAGTATCCCTCAGCACCAGGGGCACAAAAGTCTCCCCTTCATACGTTAACTAAGTAGGTTAAAGAAACGAAAAACAGCATTATTTACTATTTACTTACACTCTAGGCTAAGCAACCATACGGCAGGCTGCTGAAGAGAAGGTAAATAACAATTTCTCTCTGAAATGCAACAAACTCCAAGGCTGGCTAGGCAGCACTGAAGCCCCAACACCCATGTCTCTATTTTCCTCTTCTAATGAAACTTTAAAAGGGAAATTATAAACAGAGACCAGGAAATTTTCTCTGACAAAAAGATCAGAATAGGCGACTTCAGGGAAACAACAGGAAAACAGTTAAACTCAGAAAATGCAAAACCCCAAAAATTAAATATGAAGATGTTTGGGTATGATCTTTTATTTAAAAATAAAACTGCGGTGGGGAGGGGGAGAAGCACTTTCAGAATGACAAAGGACAGACCTCTGAAAATCCATTCTTCCATAAAAGCAACAAAAATACTGGTAAAAACTGTCACCGACTTTTTCAGAACTCTGAAAATTAACCAAGGACTTGCACCAGTCCAAGGAACATTTATTTGAGAAAATGATTGAATCTTGGCAAGGAGCAAACCCTGGCATTCTAACTTGCCCTCTCTTCCCATACACCTCTCTCTTTCAGTAGCCTTGAAAACCAACAGCCTCATAACCACAGTAGCTGCGAGAGCCAGCAACACAGCATAGCCAGAGGGGACAGAATGGATTTGGAACCCTCTCAAGGGACCTATCCCCGGAGAATATTCCCTACAGGCAAACCTTGCTTTATTGCACTTCACTTCATTGTGCTTTGTGCTTTGCACTTTGCGGATACGTTATTTTTTACAAATTAAAGGTTTGTGGCAACCCTGCATCCAGAAAGTCTATTGGCACCATTTTTCCAACAGTATTTGCTCACTTTGTGTCTCTGTGTCGCGTTTTGGTAATTCTTCCGATGTTTCCACTTTTTCATTATTACTATATGTGTCACGGAGATCTGTGATCGGTGATTATGACTTCCTGAAAGCTCAGACGATGCTTAGTGTTTTTAGCAACAAAGCATTTTTTAATTAAGGTTTGTTGTCCGTTGTTTTCTAGACATACTGCAACTGTACACTTAATAAGATACAGTATAGAATAAACAGAACTTTTATATGCACTGGGAAACCCAAAAAACTCATTTGACTTGCTTTGTTGCAATATTCACTTTACTGCAGTGGTCTGGAACTGAACCCATAATATCTCTGAGATATACCTGTATTGGGCCTGCTTAGCAGCTCCCTGGAAAAGCCCTGTTTTCAGAGCTTATGTTTACTTGACCTGACTTAGAGTTCACTCAGCCCTGTCTTCAGGGGATCTGCCAAAAACAATCAGCAGCAACTGTTTAATATCAGAGCAGCCTGAGGCAGCAATACCAACCAGTTAAAGCAAATAAGAGACTGACCAAAACGGAAAAAGGAAAATCTGGGTGATGTCCACATAGGGCTTGGAAAACCTCTAACATAGAGAGGCAAAACAAGAAACAAACTCTTAACTGTAGAGAACAAACTGATGGTTACCTGAAGGGAGGTGGGTGGGGAGAAAGGTTAAATAGGTGATGGGGATCAAGGAGTGCACTTGCTGTGATGAGCACCAGGTGTTACACGGAGGTGTCGAATCACTATATTGTACACCTGAAACTAATTATTACGCTGTATGTTAATTCACTCGAATTTAAATCAAAAGTTAAAAACAACAACAACAACACCTCTAACATATTCTTGAGAATCCAGAGGGCTATGTGACTGTGCAGGGCTGTGTGAAGTGTAGGGAAGATCCAAGAAATCCCTTATCTTTACCTCTTGTTGACCTTGAGGTTATGCACAAACAGAAGGTGAAGGCTAAGGCAGAGTTGGAATCGGCCAGAGCGCTGAAAGTATGCCCCAACACACACCCACACACACAGAGCCCTCCCCGCTCTCCCCACTGCCCCCCGGTAAAGGCTAGGAGACTAACCACGCAAAGACTTCAGTGGCTACACATAGCAAAGAATACAGGAAAATCATGGCACACAGAAAGAGTAACAACTACAGCAACAATAAAAAAATAGCGACAGGGGCGCCTGGGTGGCGCAGTCGGTTAAGCATCCGACTTCAGCCAGGTCACAATCTCGCGGTCCGTGAGTTTGAGCCCCGCGTCGGGCTCTGGGCTGATGGCTCAGAGCCTGGAGCCTGTTTCCGATTCTGTATCTCCCTCTCTCTCTGCCCCTCGCCCATTCATGCTCTGTCTCTCTCTGTCCCAAAAATAAATAAACGTTGAAAAAAAAAAAATTTAAAAAAATAGCGACAGCAAACCCTGGAAAAGCCGGCGTCTGATTTCCAGAGTCTTCACACTGTATCACTTAAAATGTCTAGTTGCAAACAAAAAAAAAATATGAAACATGCAAAGAAACAGGAAAGTACGGACCAAACATGGGGGAGGGGAGAACACTTAATAATAGAAACTGTCCTTGAAAAAGCCCACATAAAGACTTGAAATCAGCGAGTATAAACATGTCCAAAGAACTAAAGAAAACTTACTTTATAAATTAAAAGAAAATAGGAGGATGTTGTCTCATCAAATAGAGAATATCACAAAAACCCGCACACAAATGTTTACGGCAGCATTATTCACAATAGCTAAAATGCCCATCCATTTTTAACGGATAAACAAAATCTACTCTAGCCACACAATGGAATATTTGACAATAGAGTTTATTGACACACGGGACAATATGGATAAACCTTGAAGACATTATGCAAAGTATAAGAAGCCAGACACAAAAGCCATGTTACATAATTCCACCTATACGAAACATCTAAAATAGGCAAATCCATGAAAACGAAAAGTAGATTAGTGGTTGCCAAGAGCTGGAGAGAGGGGAAATGATGGGGAGTGACTGGGAATGGACACAAGGTTTCTTTTCGGGGTGATGAAAATGTTCTGGAATTAGTGTCGGTGATTGCATCGTATGTGAACATACCAAAACCCACTAACTGCTTTAAAAGGGCGAAATTACATGGTATGTGAGTTGTACCTCAATAAAGCTGTTTTTTAAAATATTTATGTAATTAAAAAAATTTTTTTTGAATGTTTATTTTTTGAGACAGAGAGAGACAGAGTATGAGCAGGGTAGGGGCAGATACAGAGGGAGGCATAGAATCCAAATCAGGCTCCAGGCTCTGAGCTATCAGCACAGAGCCCGACACGGGGCTCGAACCCACAAACTGTGAGATCACAACCCGAGCTGAAGTTGGATGCTCAACCAAGTGAGCCACCCAGGCGCCCCTGAATTTATGTAATTTTAAAACTGAAGCAGTAAGTGAACAGTTTCTATTTAAGAAACTACGTCAAAACCAAGTTTGACATAGTTGACGAAGAATCAACCTCCTTAGTCCCATCACCACATTAAAAACAAGAAACAGTGAGTTCAATTCTCCGAGCCTGAATGCAGGAACTCTGTAACATGAAGGCAAAGGCAGTCGCAGGCCAGCCTGTGATAGTCCTAAGGAGGAACCGAGGTCACCACTTTAGAAACGTGGAAGAGTGAGGCTGACCGACTCCAGCCGCAATCAAGCAGACACAGATTCGATAGTACGGGGCAGAGGTGATTCACTGAGGCAGGATTTAATCTGCCAGAGGTAGACTGGAAGTAAATAACAAAGTCCTGAAATGATGAAACAATTATAATAAATAATGTACTAAAAGCATATCAGCCTGTAACTAAACGAGCAAAGAAAATCTGACGTCGGAAGTGATGTCGGTCTTCTTCTGGCGGAAAAATCACCCAAAGACGACCTTTTGCCAGACCCGTAGTTCAAGTGCGGCTTTACCTGACAGCGGATCATAACGTGGGTCACTTTAGACTTGCCATCGCTGCTTTCCCCTTTGTCATCACCAGTTCGGACAGAGAGAACAAAATCTCCAGGATGGCTCTGGCTCTCTCGTACCAGAAAGCTGCCGTGTTTTCCTTTCTCCGTCAATAATTTCTCTGCTTCTTTCCCAGAGAGGTGTCCATGAAACCACCTAAATTTTTTTAAATGAAGATCAATTGAGTTCTGCCATGAGTTCACAGCATTCTTTCACAAAACTGCCATACACAGCGAGCTCCTAAACAATTAAAAAACAGACACAGTCCTCTAAGAGATTGGTCAATCCCGCACAAGGCAGAATTTGCAGCCCAAGCAGGAAGGAAAAATGGCAAAGATGTTAAGAAAAACCATTCAACTTTTTAAATGAGCCTAGTCATTGGGAAACAAATGTCCTCAATCTTTCCTATTTTCGTTTCCATCTCCAGCTTTTAAAAATGCATTTTGTCATTTCTCCATGCCCTACCCTAAAAGGATCAACTATTTAAACACAACCATTTAAAGAAACTAAAAGAGGGGCGCCTGGGTGGCGCAGTCGGTTAAGCGTCCGACTTCAGCCAGGTCACGATCTCGCGGTCCGTGAGTTCGAGCCCCGCGTCAGGCTCTGGGCTGATGGCTCAGAGCCTGGAGCCTGTTTCCGATTCTGTGTCTCCCTCTCTCTCTGCCCCTCCCCCGTTCATGCTCTGTCTCTCTCTGTCCCAAAAATAAATAAACGTTGAAAAAAAAATTTAAAAAAAAAAAAAAAAAAAAAAAAAAAAAAAAAAAAAAAAAAGAAATTAAAAGAGAAAATCATGGTAGAAACAGAAAATCATTTGAATGTTTGCCCTTGCTTTGGTATGTGCAAATTACATAAGAAAGGATTTTCATTATAAATGAAGCATTCCAAATGTTTTAATATGTCCAACCAATACTTTCAACAGCCTCCAAGTTTTCTGTCAATACCTTTGGAGCACACACTGGGCTATCATTTCAAACCCTAATGCACATAACTTCTAGAGCAGGGGTGAGGGATTTTGTTAAAAATGTGAATTCCCATGCCTCACAACCAGAGGTAGTGATACATGAAGTCCGAAGGTGGCCCAGCAACCTGCATTTTCACCCAGCACTCCAGAGTCCTGATGTAGGCCATCAGAGGACAGACTCTGAGACAACAGTACTCTCAGATACTATAAAAAACATCTTGGGGCACCTGGGTGGCTCAGTCGGCTGAGCATCCAATTTCAGCTCAGGTCATGATGGTTTCTGAGTTCGAGCTCCATGTCGGGCTCGGTCCTGACAGCTCAGAGCCTGAAGCTTGCTTCCAATTCTGTGTCTCCCTCCCTCTCTCTCTCTCTCTGCCCCTCCTCCACTTGAGTTCTCTCTCAAAAATAAACAAACATTAAAAAAAAAAAAATTTTTTTTTAAACATCTTAATGGGGTGCCTGGATGGCTCAGTTAGAAGAGCATGTGACTCTTGATCTCAGGGTTGTGAGTTCAAGCCCCATGTTAGGGGTAGAAATTACTCAAATAAAAAACAAACTTTAAAAAAATCTGAACCTAGTCATATTAATCATGTGGCTTTTTCCCTCAGAATCTTGGTAAGAAGGCAAGCACTATCATGGCAGAGAGTACTAATGGCTCATCACTAGGGGAATATACTTTGAGTTCTTTTTCATCCACCCTCAACTGAACAGAGTAAAACTTAGAGATAAACTGAGGTGGCTGGCAGCCTTTTGCTTGAAGCTACAGTGGTAGCTGGAGAAACAAACTACCGGCATACAGAGAGGTGCAAACTGAAGAAACCTACCTGAAGATACAAAATATACAAACCTACTTAAGAGACCCTGAATTTGTACTGAGTCAGAGAGGAGACTGGGGCTGTAGAAAACCAATAAAAGCAATAAAAATAGGTCAAGCCCTGACTTTCATCAGCTTAGTTCCAACACAAGGCAGCAGGGGTGGGGGAAGATCTCTGAAATGACAGAATTTCCTCTAAGCAAGGTCATTCTCCACATTTGTGGATACTACATAAAAGAACTGATGAAAAATCTGACCCTCTGAGCTCTCTGCTTTTCGGCTTCTGAGCTTAAACTGACATCTGTTGGCGGCATTGCTGAATAGCTGGTCAGGAGCTACTATTGAGAACTGGTGCTGTTTTGGCATCTCCATTATCATTTTTCTCTCCTAACTCTCAAAGATTATCAGCTCAAGTCCAATAATCCTAAAATTACCGCATGTACCAAGAACATACAGGAATAATCTGAGATCCCTGTAAGGAACACTGATGGACACTTTTACAAGAAAAGGGGGATCTGAAAGTAATCTGATCCCATTTCTTCCTTCAGTAAAACTTTACTTGAAAAGGTTACAGCTTGAGCAACAGATCAAGCCAAACCCCCACAAAGCATTCAGAGAACACCTACAGCATGGGAGAGACGCACAGATTCTGGAGTCGCTAAAAGTCACTGACCTTTCAGAGGTAGGGTCTGCACAGTTCAAAGGATATTTGAGCTCAATAACATCTCCATTCTTCTCTTTTAATTGCCCGTGGTGTTCCATGTAATACTGGACCAGCTCAGCCAGAGTGGCAAACTTCTCCCCTCCGTACAGGTCATAGTAATCACCGGTGTTCTGAATCTTGATGTGGGTGACAGCTCCATTTCTTCTAAAATAGTCCATTAGGGGAGAAACGAAAACTAGTAAAGAGCCACGCTAGTAAAAATGGATCTCATAATTCAATAGCAGATTTCACCTAAACGTGGAAACACACCCAAGAAACCGGTTTACATTTCTCCTGTAACAAATGCAGTGAGTCAAAGGACCACGTGGTCAACCATTTCAACACAAAGGGCTCTGTTTATTGGTTCCGTTCCCTTGTACAACTTCTATGTTCAAAGTCTGACCTATCGGGGGCACCTGGCTGGCTCGGTCAGTCAGTGGAGTGTGTGGCTCTTGATCTCTCAGGGTTGGGAGTTCAGGCCCCCCATAGGATGTAGAGATTACTTAAAAATAAAATCTTTGAAAGTCTGGCCTGTCAAACTGCATATATTAAGTGACAATAATTTTCCTCATCATTAATTAATCGAGACGCATATATTAAAGTTAAACATCCATCTATCTTGTAATCTACTAAATCTACTCATTAAGTATTTTGCTCCCCACAAAATGAAACTGTATGGCTATCAAAGACTTGTATAAGAATATTCATTGTAGCCTTATTTGGAATACAAAAATATTGGAAACTCAAATATTTAGCATCAAAATGGATAAATAGTTGTATAGTCATACAATAGAACACAACATAGCAATTAAAAACAAAAGAAAACAACACTGATACATATGACACGAACAAATCTCAAAAACATTACATTAAGAGAAAGAAGCCAGGGGATACCTGGCTGGCTCAGCTGGGAGAGTATACACTTGGTCTCAGGGTTGTGAGTTCGAGTCCCATGCTGGGTGTAGAGATTACTTAAAATCTTTGGGGCACCTGGCTGGCTCAGTCAGTTAAGCGTCCGACTCTTGGTATAGGCTCAGGTCACGATCTCACAGTTCATGGGTTCATGGATTTGAGCCCCATTGTCAGTTCTGAGTCTGCCTGTGACTCTCTCTCTCTCTCTCTCTCTCTCTCTCCTCTGCCCCCTCCCCTGCTTGCACTCTCTTCTTCTCCCTCTCAAGATAAACATTTTTTAAAAAATCTTTAAAGAAAGAAAAAAAGACAGAAAGAAAGACAAAAAGAAAGACAGAAAGACAGAAAGAAAGAAACAACTATCTCACAGACCACCTATTAATCACAAAAAGAAAGGGGCGCCTGGGTGGCTCAGTCAGTTGAGCGTCCAACTTTAGTTCAGGTCAGGATCTCACAGGTCCTGAGTTCGAGCCCCCCATCGGGCTCTGTGCTGACAGCTCGGAGCCTGGAGCATGCTTCGGATTCTGTGTCTCCCTCTCTCTCTGCCCCTAACCCACTCACATTCTGTCTCTGTCTCTCTCAAAAAAATAAACAAACATTAAAAAAAAAAATGTACTCATAATCACAAAAAGAAAAAGGTGCCTTTACAATGGGAAAATCTGGCAAACACCTCAATCAAGTGATTAAATTGAACACCCCCAAGCGGCTCCTGAGCAGCTCAGTTAGTGACACATCGTACTCTTGATTTCAGCGCTGGTCATGATATCTCATGGTTCGTGAGTCCAAGCCCTACATCTTGCTTGGGATTCTCTCTCTCTCCCTCTCTCTCTGTTCCTCCCCTGCTCTCTCATACGTGCTCTCTCTCTCTTTCTCTCTCAAAAATAAATATGATACAATACAATACAATACAATACAATACAATACAATACAATACAATAAAACAACACAACACAACACTGAACAGCCTTGAAAAATGGGACAAGCAGCCCCCATGTGCCTCCCACTGTGAGTTAATGGGGCGGGCCAAACACTGCCCCTGTGGTGCACTTGCCAAAGATGTGTCATCTGAATTTAAAAATGAGGAAACGATCAGCAAATTGAGATTGAAAGACAACCTACGAAATGACTGGCCTGACTGGCCAAAAAGCCAGAAGAGAGAGAAAAAAAAGAAAAGGTCAGGAGAGACTAGAAACATAAAAATTGAATGCAATGAATGATCCTTGACTAGATCCTCCTGAATCTAGTGTGGGGTGGCAGGTGGGGCACGAGATGGGACACGGGGTGGGACTCAGACACTTGCAATCACTTCAAAAGCCATTACTGAAATAACAACGGAAATCTGAATATGAATATTAGACGGTATTATAGAAGCAAGGTTAAAATGTATTACCTATAATAATGATTTTTTTCAAGATATGGAGTTTCTTTCCTTAATGTTTATCTTTGAGAGTGAGAGAGAGAGAGAGAGAGAGAGAGAGAGCAGGTGAGCAGAGGAGCAGCAGAGAGAGAGGGCAGAGGATCTGAAGGGCTGAGAGCAAGCACAGAGCCCGATGTGCTACTCCAACTCACGAACCGTGAGATCATGACGTGAGCCAAAGTCAGACACTTAACTGAGCCACCCACGCACCCCTCATAACTGAGTCTGTAGTTACACAGGAGAATGTTTTTGTTTATCAGACATAGACACTGAAGTATTTTTGTTTTGTTTTTCCCAAGGAGGACTCTTGCCCAGCGTGGAGCCCAAGACGGGCTCGAACCCATGACCCTGAGATCAAGACCTGAGGATCCGACTCTTGATTTTGGCTCAGATTGTGATCTCATGATTCATGGGTTCAAGCCCTACATCAGGCTCTGCACTAACAGTGCAGTAATAGTGCAGAGCCTGCTGGGATTCTCTCTCATTCTCTCTCTCTCTCTCTCTCTCTCTCTCTCTCTGCCCCTCCCCCAATTACACCAACTCAAAATAAGTAAATTTAAAATAATAATAAAATAAAATAAAGGTAAAAATAGGGGCACCTGGCTGACTCAGTCAGTGGAGTGAGCAACTCTTGATCTCAAGGTTGTGAGTTCGAGCCCCATGTTGGGTATAGGGATTATTTAACATCACAATCTTTTTAAAAGTTTTAAAACAAAGTAAAAAGTATGTTGATTATCTGCACTTTGCTTTCAAAAGGTTCAGGGGGAAAAAAGTAGACACACAAACACACACTCAGAAGGGACAAACATGACAACATGCTGGCAGGTGAAGAGAAGGTGGGTGGTCACATATTCATCTTTCAACGTTTCTATAAGCCAGAAATTTTTCAAAATAAAAAGTTGAGGGGCAAGGAAAAAAAAAAAATCCCACCAATTCTCTAGTCCTGGTCCTGCCGCTGAGTAGCTGCGAGACTAGGTTACTAACTTAACCTCTGGGTCTCAGCTTAGTCACCTGTAAAATGAAGATAATTGTGGTACTTATTCATAGGTTGCTGGGAAAATTAAATAGAATGATATGTGTAGAGTGCTTGGCACAAGGGCCTGGTGCATATGTCAAGTCCTCAATCATGTCTGCTGTCACCATCATGATCATCATATACTCTCCATACAAACTCTTACAGCTCAAATATCACACAACATTTAAGTTAGAGGTCCGTGCTGATTCAAGCCCTGAGGACTCACGAAGACCCATTCCTTGTATTAAAACACAAGAAAAAGTTAACGACGGGGGCTCCTCAAAAACTAATCCAAGCCAAAAAGAGGTTTCCCAAGTCCCAAAGGGATCCTAAATAAACCCACCACAGTTTATCCAACCCTCTATTGTGGGAGTGTTTTCAGTTTGTTTTACATTTTTTGAACAGTATGGCCAACATCCTGTTACAGGTCTCTTTGAGCAGGTGGGACGGTTTTTCTAGAAACTGACCTTCTCTTATATACTTATTTCCCTTACTCTAGATTATTCCAGGAGCTGTAGTGCTACTGCCTTATCATTTTGCTTTTATTATTACTATTTTCAAATAAGGAAGTAAGTAAGATGTGTTGGCCATACTGTTCAAAACATTTGAAACAAAAACAACTCAGTGTCCCACAACAGAGGACTGGATAAACTGTGGTAGGTTCACAACATTTAAGTATAGCCATCAAAATTAAAATTAATAATTAGATCTCTATGTACCAGCACAGACCTCAAAAAGTTTAAACAGGAAGTTGCAGAATAATAGATACATTCTAAGGCCTGTGTATGTGAATTCTAAAAACACACAAACCAACTTTATATTGTTCACAATAGCAGCAAGACAGTGCAAGTATAAAAACACATTCAGGAAGGATACATGCCAACCTCTCGATGGCGGTTTCCTCTGGGGAAAGAGGGAGGGGATGGGACTGGGCAGGGGAACAAACGGGACCACAACTTCCTCAGTGAGGTTTTATTTCTTGAAAAAGAAAAGTGATCTGAAGAACCTCTTCAAAAGCATTTTTCCCATTAAGAAATCAACAGAAGGAAAAGGGAAAACGCAGGCAACCAGGTTCAGGACGTGTGGAACCCGGATCAAGCGGTGGTGACGACGGTCTGTTCACCTCACCCGCGGGGGTCTCTCAGGGGAGAAGACGTGCCCATCATGACGCCCCTTCTGCTGTATTCCCATGCGCCCACTCTCGGGAGGCCTCGCCTGAGGCTCGTGAGCAGGCTCGTGTCGCATCTGACACGTGGGCCAGGCCTCGCCATGGGCCAGCAGGCAGGCCTTCAGACTCTCAGGGAGGGTAGCAAGCGGTCCTGGTGTGGTCTTAACGTTTCTCACCCTTTCCGGGTTCTCTTTTTCTTCCAACTTACCTGACAGAAAGGGTGAAGTCTCCAGGGTTACTTTTACTGGGCCTCGCCAAAAAACTGCCATCAACTCCTCTTGTCAACAGCAGGTTTTCTGCCTCCACGCCAGTGATGTTTGGGTGAAACCATCTTGAGCAAGAGAAAAATGGAGAGAGCCATGAAAACCAAGGGACTCTGTCACTTCCCACACCATCACACCGAAAATGCATAGGGGTAGAGCAGCTAATAGAAATAAAAAACAAGGGGCGCCTGGGTGGCTCAGTCAGTTGAGCGTCCGACTCTTGATTTCAGCTCAGGTCATGATCTAATAGTTTGTGAGACTGAGCCCCACACTGGGCTCTGCGCAGACAAGGAGAGCCTGCTTGGGATTCTCCCCTCCCTCTTTCTCTGCCCTTCCCCACCCCCAAATAAATAAACTTAAAAAAAAAATCTTTACAAAAATACAAAACAAGACCTTCCCTTCCTCTTCCCCCTCTTCTCCTTGGTCACTCCCACCCCCCTTGACTTCCTCTTGGTAGGAGCCTAGCTAGCATCCTGCCAGCACGATGGGTGGGGCTGGGGCATGGTCAGTGGGACCGGGGCTGGGGGTTTGGATATTAAGCCAAGCCCGAAGCCCAAAAAGACAGTCCAGGAGATTGAATACATGGAGTGGAATTACACAAGTAAATAAACAAAGAAACTAATGAATAAACATACTGAGGATAACGAGAGCCAGATTTCTCACTGTTGGAGAGGCAATATACATATAGACAGGGAGAACGCCCAAATAAACTCTGGTGTTAGATTAGAATCGGAGGTAATGTAAACTCTAGCTTTTAACATACATATAGAGATAACTATAGAAATACAGATGTAGGTTTCCATGGAGGTATGTGCATATGTATGATGCATACATATTTTCCTAGCTCTTTCTTCTAAAAGGGCCCGGAAGCAATGACACCCCAGTAGCCATCAGCATAACCAGCCCCCTTATCATGGTTTCTAAATACTTTTCTCCAACAAAAGGAACCGGTTTCTTGGAGAAAAAGCTGATTCCAGTTCTGGGCACTAAAAGTAAGATGAATTTGGAACACCCTCCTGTATCCAGCTCCAATGAGGACATGTCAAAAGAATACAAGAGCCAGCTTAAAGGGACTCATACCTGCCAAATTAGACAATTTGTACCTCAAAATTAAAAAACGATATTGGGGCATCTGGGTGGCTCAGTTAGTTAAGCATCCAACTTCAGCTCAGGTCACAGTCTCACAGTTCGTGAGTTCGAGGGCTACGTCGGGCTCTGTGCTGACAGCTCAGAGCCTGGAGCCTATTTCAGATTCTGTGTCTCCCTCTCTCTCTGCTCCTCCCCTGCTCATGCTCTGTCTCTCTCTGTCTCAAAAATACACATTAACCATTTTTTTTGAAATAAAAAATGATATTAATAGAAAACAGACCATTGAATAAAATAAGAAACCTAACAGTCCATATGGATCTCAATTTTTTTTAACTAATTACGGTTCTTCCAAAAATTAAGTATGGACTAACCATATATACCGAAATTCCACTTCTGGGTATATACCCAAAAGAACTAAAAGCAGGAACTCAGATATTTGTATACACATGTTCATAGCAGCACTACTCATAACAGCCAAATGGTGGATGCAACCCAAGTGCCTACCAACGAACGAATGGATCAACAAAATGTGATTATATACATCAACGGAATATAATTCAGCCTTTATAAGTTAGAAATTCTGCCACACGCTACAACACGGATGAACCTCGAAGACATTGTGTTGAGTGAAACACACCAGTCACAAAAGGGCATATACTGTAAGACCCTACCTCTCCATGAGGCACCTAGGGTAGTCAAACCCAAAGAGACAGAAAATAGGATGGTGGTTGTCAGGAACTGGAGGAGGACATGGGAGTGTTAGTGCTTAACAAGCACAGAGTGTCAGTTGAGACGATGAAAATGTTCTGGAGATGGATGGTGCAGGTGGCTGTCCACCAATGTCAATGTGCTTAATGTCACTTAAAAATCATTAAAATGATGCGGCGTCTGGGTAGTTCAGTCGGTTAAGCGTCTGACTCTTGATTCAGCTCAGGTCATGATCCCACAGTTCATGAGATCGAACCCCGTGTTGTGCTCTGCACTGACAGTGCAGAGCCTGCTCAGGATTCTCTGTCTCCCTCTCTCTGTCCCTCTCCCACTAGCACACACACACTCTCTCTCTCTCTCTCTCTCTCTCTCAATCAATCAATCAATCAATATTTTTGAAAGTTTTAGGGGCACCTGGGTGGCTCAGTTGGTTGAGTATCTGACTTCGGCTCAGGTCATGATCTCATAGTCCGTGGGTTTGAGCCCCGCGTCAGGCTCTGTGCAGACAGCTCAGAGCCTGGAGCCTGCTTCAGATTCTGAGTCTCCCTCTCTCTCTGCCCCTCCCCTTCTCACGCTCTGTCTCTCTGTCTCTCTGTCTCTCTCTCTCAAAAATAAACATTAAAAAAATTTAAAATAAGTTTTAAAAAATGGTTAAAGTGACAAATTTTCTGTTATGTATATTTAACTGCAATCAAATACAGGGGGACAAAGGGAAAGCTCTTTGCAGTAGAAGCACAAAGAATGATATATAATAAATACAGGAGTAACAGAATTAGGAAATCACCTTTTGGTAACTGTCACATTAATAGGTCAGGCAAGAACTGTCACAAGGCACTAAAACTAGTGGGTGAACATTTCAGGAAGTACAGGGTGTTTATAGCAACTCAAAGTACCTCCCCATGAAATGTTTATTAATTACTTATTAATTAACAAATAAAAAATACTCAGGGGCGCCTGAATGGCTCAGTTAGTTAAGTGTCCAACTTCGGCTCAGGTCATGATTTCACGGGTTCTTGAGTTCGAGCCCCACATCAGGCTCTGCAGACAGCTCAGAGCCTGGAGCCTGCTTCAGATTCTCCCTCTCTCTCTGCCCTTCCCCCACTGACACTCTGTGTCAGTGTGTGTGTGTGTGTGTGTGTGTGTGTGTGTGTCCGTCTCTCTCAAAAATAAACATTAAAAAAATTTTATAAATAAACAAACATTAAAAAAAAATTTTTAGATACAAACTTCACAGTGGAGAATTTGACAGATAACTATCTTAACCAACAGATAAAAGTTAACATCACCAGTTATGGATTAAACTGGCATCACGTGCCTCCTGACATCATGCATGGAGAAATGCAAGTGCCATTTCTGTGATATTCCCATCAAAAATGCATTATCTAACCTAATTACGAGGAACATCTGACAAACCCCAAATGAGTGACATTCTACAAGGTCAGATGGAGGTAGAAATTCAATGGTATCATTATAATATAAATTTCCTGATTTTGACAAGTGTACTGTATGTATGTCTATGTTTTTAGGAAATGCACACTGAAGTATTTTATTTTATTTTATTTTAATGTTTATTTATTTTGAGAGAGAGAAGGAGAGAGAGACAGAGCACGCATGACTGGGATAGGAGCCGAGAAGGAGACAGAATCGGAAGCAGGCTCCTGTGCTGTCAGCGCCCTACGCCGGCGGGGCTCAAACTCACAAACCACGAGATCATGAGCTGAGCCAAAGCTGGACACTTAACCAAGTGAGCCACCCAGGCGCCCCAACACACTGACGTATTTTAGAGTAACAAGACAACATGCTTGTAATTTACTCTCCAATGGTTCAGAATGAAATTAGACATACGGTGTGTATATACATGGGGGGAGGCAAATGTGATACCATGCTAGCTGGCAAATCTGGGTAAAAACTAAACAGAAGTTGTATCATTCTTACAAGATTTGTATAAATTTGAAGTTATTTCAAAATAAAAAGTTTTTAAAGACACACAAATAACGAAGTCCACCATGAATGCTGTCCACTTCAGAGGATTCCTCTTTGAGTTTCCAGTAAGATTTCCTTCATGGATTCTAAAAGTCACCAACATTTGTGGTAAAAAGAGTAATTTCGGAAGTCAAATTACCCAGGACCTTTACAGACTAATTCAATACTCCCAGGAATAGAAGTCAATTATTAAATGTAGAGTCCCGGCACTGATACGCAAACGAACTTTGAAGAGACTTCTCGACAAATATTGGCCCCATGTGAGTTGTTTTACAACAGTGAAAGAGAGAAAGCAAGGGTGAAAAGCTGTCATAAATCGTGCACTAAGGACATGGACACTTCTGCAGCATCATGGTGAGGGCTCTGATCACACAGACCTAGGTGCACAACTGAGCCCTACCACTGACTAGCTCAGCGACCTGGGCAAGTTCTTTCTACTTCTGATTTATCACCCACAATATAGCAATAATAATTCTTAGGTTTGTTTTAAGAACAAACTGAGGGGGCGCCTGAGTGGCTTAGTCAGTTAAGCGTCCAACTTCGGCTCAGGTCATGATCTCATGGTTCGGGAGTTCGAGCCCCGTGTCGGGCTCTGTGCTGACAGCTCGGAGCCTGGAGCCTGCTTCGGATTCTGTGTCTCCCTCTGTCTGCCCCTCTGCTGCTTGCACTCTATCTCTTGCTCTGTCTCAAAAATAAATAAACATTAAAAAAAAAAAAAAAAAGAACTGAGAATCCACACAACATAATATCATTCGGTCATTTAAAAGGAATGAAGCACTGATAAATGCTACAATTTGAATGAACCTTGAAAATATTCTGCTAAATGAAAGAAACCAGACACAAGAGGCCACATGTTGTATTGTTCCATTGATGTGAAATGTCCAGAATAAGCAAATTCACAGAGACAGAAAGTAAATTTAGTGCTTGCTTTAAGAAGGGGGATAGCTAGGGGCACCTGGGTGGCTCAGTCGGTTAAGTGTCCAAGTCTTAGTTTCAGCTCAGGTCATGATTTCACAATTTATGGGTTCAAGCTCCACACTGGGCTCTGAGCTGACAGTGCAGAGCCTGCCTGGGATTATCTCTCTCTCAAAATAAATAAACAAACTTTTAGAAAGCAGGGGGGTGGGAGGGAGGCGGGGGGGACACCTGGGTGGCCCAGTCACATAAGCGTCTGACTCTTGATTTTGGCTCAGGTCATCATGATCTCAGTTCGTGAGTTTGAGCCCCACATGGACCTCAATGCTGACAGCATGAAGCCTGCTTGGGATTCTCTCTCTCCTTCTCTCCC